ATCCGCTACAGCAGCAAGGATTCATCATGAGGTATTTCTGATAGGAAGTTAATGTGAGGCCTCAGATTAACAAGTGTTTACACCACCGTTGTTAGAGGTGATAATTTGTAATTTCTGATATGAGTCTAGTACTCATAGACAAGTAAATTTTTTCTTACTGAGGATTTATCTATCTATAAATATATGTGTGATTATCTAGTGTATTGTAAATAATAATCAATAGTAATTCGTCGGGTTTATTTATTTAAGCCCAAATTTATTTAGCCTATAGGCTCCGTTTGGATAATAAAATTTTTTAACAAAAATGTAGTTTAATCTACTCGCAAATTAGAGGAATTATAAGTGCGTAGAAATCAATAAATGTCTAGACCGACGTCACACATACAAATCCCTTTTCGACAGAAATGCCTAAAACGTACACAATTATGGGCGTATTAAAGTGCTTACTGGTTTAGTAGAACTGCATTTACCACCAAAAAATGAGTCATCGTCATTGCTACTCTTTTATTTACTATGTTTAATTACTTAACATAATCAGTAATGATTGTTGTGATTTCCGATGTCTCCAGCAGTCTTCGCATGAACTACCAGCGTTCGATATCTGTGAAATTTGAATCAGTAGCATTTATTTTTTTCTATAATGTAAGCCAAAAGGCTACTGAAACTTTCTTGTTTAATTTAAATTACGTCACTAAAGTTTCAAAATCCTTTCCACTTTTTTCGGAAATCAAAATATGTTTGTTTGCCGATAAATGATTTTTAGCTGCTACAACCCTGCATTGACCTGTTTTATTTGCTCATACAATATAAACATTTTAGTCTACTACAAAAATAAAAGTAGAAATTTGTTTGTTTTCAAATAAAACACTTTGGTTATTGGTATGTTTGTGACATAAACAACGTAAAATATTATTCCTGTTAAGAATTTTCAAGTTTTCTCATTTAACATTTTCACAATAACACAAGAAATAACGCTTTCACGTGAAAATGCTTTCCTGGAAACATAAGTTACATTTATATCCTTCCTCGTCGATTACAGTTCATGGCTTCGTAGAAGAAACAAACGCCAATTTAGTCATCATATTGCCACAAAATAAAATATAAACTTATAAAGAAAAGATTGATGAGTTTTGAAGTTATGGACTCTAAGATACCATTGAATTGCCCTTTGTTGCCAGTTTCGATCTTGTTTTCCCGACCTCAGCAAAACATCCTGACATGAAAACAAGTAAATCTATTTATTGGTGTCTTATTGGGTGTACAGGAAGTGAAAACGGGAAAGATAAAATCCAGACACGGCGACCAGTAACAAACATTAGCCAATCGTCTTTAACTATGGACATAAGTATTGGTTTTAGTAAATATGCTAGAAATGAACAATAAATGAGGGATGGTGTATTTAAACACATACAAAAATATAAACAGTTTTTTGGCACACTTCGCAGACCTATGCAGGCTTATCCAGTGTGACATTTATTTTAGCAGTTCAAATGAAAAAGGAAGACGGCCTTCGAGAAACTCTCCTGTGCGTCCATTGAAGTCATGAGATATCTGCAACTCCTAATAGCCATTCTTCTTGAAAATCTTACCCAATCCGAGGCAAGCATTCAAGGACGTACGTGGCTCTTTCAAATGCCATTTTCCCTGACTCACCAGTCTAATTAAACAATAACATAAATAATGGCAGATTTCAATTTCTTCTGACAAACTGAGCTGTATGCGTCTGCATTTTCTCAGAGTGACTAGGCCTAATCGAAACCTTATTATTACTGCCTTTTGCAGCAATATTTTATGCATGGTTATAACAAGCGTTAAACCCAACACGATTATTTTATACATATGTGCATATTGCCACACGTTTTTATGCCAGAATATATACCTAATTTTAAAAGAATTCAAGTGTACACTTATTCACTGATATCGATGCAATAATTTGTGTAATCAGCTTTACAAAATAAGAGCAGACATGGAGACCTTAAAGCCACTTACCGCGAATTTCTACACTTGGGAGCGATGTGCGTCCTTATTGCTGTGTCAGACAGCAGTGCACATGTTTCAAGCCAATGTCAATCAGCTAACATTTTTTCCAAACCGGAAACAAGGGTGACACACTGTTAAAATTTAAAAATTTAAGTAAAGACGTAACCATAGTAAACATCCAAAGACATCCATATGCAATATTAGTTTGCATTGAAGGATTGAAGGAATAACACGACTTGAAGTGACAATGATAGAGGCTAGAATTTACATTCACAAAGTCTTTCAAGATAGTACGAGGTCACTACAAAGTCATTTTATCATGCCTAATTAAGACGGTTTGTATTTTGTAATTTTTAACTCACGTAGATTGGGGCGTAACATCATTTAAAATCATAAAAACAGTGATAAATGACTTTATGTCGCTGAACTGGTTCAACCAATTATAACACAAATGAGCCCAGGAATAAAAACTAAATGGATGTGGTTTTGTAGAATTTAGAGTGTTTTAAGGGTATCTTATCCTAAAAAACAACAACTTTTCCTTAAAATTTCAAGCAATAATGACGCATGGAAATTAATTATTCCTTACTATTTACAGATGAATAGTCGAGATTAAATAATCAAAATTCAAAACGCTTTTTAGACTGACGTAATTTGAAAGCATTGATTACAATCTGGAAAGTGAGTTGATGTAAAAGCCTTTGAAAAAAATAACTAATAAGCATCACTGGCCAACGACCGGTAGGTGCTCATCTTGACCAGCCTCCTATTGGTCACTCAACGTCAGTACTTTCCGCTGATTCGCTGATTGTCCATGCAGTTGCCGCCTCACGTTTGTGTACATAGGCATAATTCCTTTGACTCAAAAATCGCAGTCTATAGCAGAGGGGAAACTTTGACCAACGTATGCGTCTGTGTAGCTCAGGTGGAGTCTTCTTCGCGGTTCGTGTTGTCACGGGAACATTATGAGTGCCAAGGGCATTGGCCTTATCTTACGAATGGCCATTCTGTGGATTTTTCTGGATATTTATGATAGCATTTTCCAACGCTGCCTTGCACAGCCGTGGTTCAATGTGCACGTTATTCAGGAGTACCTTGATTTAACTGGTGAGGGGATATGCCTTCATATAATAAAGCAAGCGCAAATACTAAGAATTTATTCTTCTGTGTGCATGCAGATTTGAATTACTTTGAATCTTGATGCAGTAACATTGGTTTAAAATGGATTTTAACCCCAAAATGGGCTTATTGAAAAGAATAACTGTTGCATTATTGTGATGCTCCACATAGAATGCACTATGCCATTACATATGATATTATTTGCAGTAGCCTACATTGGTACTGGGTAAAATTATAAATATCATAAATTTTGTGACAAATTATAAAACTCGTGAATGCACATTTGACAGATGGGAAACTAATGCTCTTACAGAATACATGTTTTGTTTATGAAGTAGTCCTTAAAAATTCGTTTTTTATGTTTAATTGGTGCTGAATTTATTGACACAAACGCAACACAAATTACATAATCTAGTAATGATTTTTCACAATGTCATTAATAAAATCAGTCCATTTTGACTAAATGGCCGGTTTAAAAACAATTTACCAAAAATTCATTATTTAAAAAAATTCAAATTTATCTATGACCTGTGTACCTTAACCTGGACAGGTTAGTTTTAGGCATTTTGTCAATCATAATTTTGTCGTGCAACAGTCATGTTTGTTCAAAAGTTGGCAAAGTAGATGAAAGTGGTATTCAGTTAGAATTCATAGAGTTTACTGGTTAAAAAATGCGACCTATGAAACTACCAGTGGCAAACAGTAACACGCATCCAAAGTTGACGAGCACAAAAAGTGCTACAATTTTAATGAAATCGTGCATTTTGAATTGTTCTTACTTGACTTCCGTCTTCATACGTGTGCAAATAAGTCAGCCTAAACACACGCACCTAAAATTTGCAGGCATTGGTACATTTGAATTTTTGAAATAATTTTTTTGGAAAGCTGCATTTTTGAGAAAATGCTTCAAATCTGCAAGTCAAAAGTGTTTACCGGGAGTCTAGCTGCAGCAAAATCCCCCATGTTTGCACATGCCGGAATTTAAATAAATGCAAAAAAATGACCTCGACCAACTGCCATCATTAATCCTTGTTAAATCGTTTGCGTAGACGGATAAACATCAGTTGCTAGTTACGCGTGTCAACCAAAGCAAGGATAATTTTGCAACAGTTCAGTTAATTTGTGGAAAATGGCATTTACGCAGCAATTATCGGTTCATGTATTGCAATAATCTGTGCATCAGTGCTATTATTCACAAGCGGCATCCAAAAAATGTTTACTTGTAATAAATGCTTTAACTGTGTGCACCTTCTGTTATCGTCACCACGTAGTTAAGTAAAACATTTTCATACTTTAATTTGTGTGAAAATTTTATTTCCTGGCCAACTAACAGCACTATTTGGTTATGCAACACGCCACAACAATATGCTCAGTTAACTGTTCATGATCCACAATTCAAGGGTTTGACTGATTTCTAGATTCATAAATAAGTAGTAATTTAATAACTCCCAGTTATCCATCCAAGTTTCTGCAAATGCCCAATGCCAAGTTTTTATAAAATGGTTGATTTTAAATTCTTGGTACTTAGTGTATTACAAGCTGAACAGAGTACTGAACGATTCAAAGCGAAGCAAAAAAGGCGCTACTTGTTTGTTTGCATGGTTTACAACTTAAAATCTTAACCGATAATTTAGAGTGGACGTACCTGTACAGTTATTAAAATGCTCAATGTTAAGCGTGTTTTAAATATTTCTTATGTTTCGAAACATAAATTAAAAAATACTTGTGGCAGCTGTAAGTTAAGCAAACGGAGGAAGCTCCTGATGTTAGCAAGTTTAACGTTAAGCTAATCTGAATTAAACTATACCATTTAGAGTAAATAAAACACATAATTTAAACTACATGTACTAAATTGTCTAGAAACGTCATCATACTACCGGGATGCGAAGCTGCATTTGAGGATGAGTAATTACTTTAAATAAAACTTTGGTATTTTTGTTGGGTTCTCCTTTTTTCACCAATTTAGCAATGCATAACTAACTCCTAAACGTCAAATTAATTGGATTTCTTGTTAAAAATAGAATTATATGAAATCGGTGGGTGCACTGCCGTCGAAAGCCTAATTATTTTCCTTTGTTTCATGAGAGAGCCAGTAGCAAGTACCAGAGTTCGATGTTTTGGAACGTTAAGTTTCCCTTAACTTGCATTATAGTCTGTGTGATTATCTCAAATGCTGACATGTTCATGAGGTAGATAGTGACAGTTTTTTATAATGTTCAATAAACTGATGCCATTCTTTTTAAGCAACTCACTTATTCAAGATGACTCACTCCCGCGCATTTATTAACAGAGCCGGCACGAATCGTTGAAGGTCCGCAGGACACAAAATCAATACATGGCGAAGACGTCGTCTTATTTTGCCGGGCCTCCGGCAACCCTGAACCTCAGGTGACCTTCCTCTGGAACTCCCAGGAGGTTGGCGCATCCACAGGAGACACCGGACTTGGGCTGCCCTCCTCATCGCCGTCATTAACAACTGGTATTGTGGTGCGCACGTTGCCCCAGGGTGACGGCCTAACTCTCCGAGCGAAATTGCAAATGTCCAACAACGGAGACACCATTACCTGCCGCGTCTACAATCAGTTTGGGACGGACACCGCCAAAGCCAGGATAACAGTCTATGATGCAAATGAACGTATGTCTGATTTACTGAAAGACTTGTCGAAGCATTTGTTAATAACTACGATGTTCTGATTAATTGTACGCTAGAGAGCACTGTACTTTAATTTACCTCCCATTTCTGATGATAATTTTAGGATTCTCACAATAACGAATGTGTGAGAATCGTAAACAACACAGTGTATTAACCATCTCGGCTAATTTGGAAGTAGTGAGTATATGTTGACTGACGTAATTTGAGTTACTTTCATAGGCCGATTCATAATGAAGCCATTGAACACAAACGTGAAAGAACCGAAATATCGCCTAAAGCTCTGCGTGTAGTCATATTTTATATAAATTTTGTGAGCAACATTAACGTTAATTTAACGACAAAGCTTGCTTGCGTCATTAATCATTTGTTAATTTTATGTGTTAATTGGAAATGTTTTTGAGTCCAAAATAAGTTTGTGGTGTTTCAAACATTACAAAGAAATACTTGTTATTTGTTTCCTTCTGGCAAATAGCTTTTTTATGCAAACAACATACAAGTTCGAAGTTAGTTGGTGATACAGGGCACAAGTCATGGCAATTATATAAGTTAAAACGTTTCACGTTTTAAATGAATGCAGTTTATTGTGTAAAACGTAACTTTTACAAATACAATCTACCTACTGCTTTCTGGGAGATGTTGTGTCGTTCCAAAAATTTTAAATCGTTTTTTTACTGAACAGTCATCTGATATTCTGAGGACATGATATTGGAGTGTTCTGGCAATCGACCCATTTGGGCTAAGAACAAAAAGTTACAGAAGTTGTTCCAGTCATTTACCAGGATTGTTTGTCTTTCGCAAACACTACGCATCTAAGTTCGCAAATTTTTTTATTCATTCAGACTTCCTAATTCCATGGATAAAATTACTAATCTAGAGTTGTCTGCGTATTTCCTTGAGTGAAAAGGTGTCAGTGTTAGCGATTTTTTAAAGCACCGAGCAGATCTGTGCACCCATACCTTCTTAGAACTTCCGTCATAACCACTTAAGCCTCCCTAATTATCCATGAAACACGACGCCTCTGTAGTAAATTTTTAAATGCATGATATGCATATTTACACATCCACTGAACTGGATGTTTGCATCTTATAAGAAACTGCCCCAGGGGTGTCTTTGGTTGTAATGCCTAATTGGCTACGTAAATGCAAGCAAGTAACATTTGAATGTTTCAACCTCTGCCAATCGACCATTACTGTCCGCCCCACAGTGGAACTCTTCTACCCTTGTAAGGTTGGTTTAAGGCTCAAAAATTGGCATTTGGTCAATTCCTACCACTATTTTGTACAGTGCAGTTTCATTATCCTGTCAGTTCGTACTTCGACGACAGTGGAAAGCTCCTCTTTAGGGCCTGCAAAACAACTTCGAGGACCTTTCAATTAATGCCAATCATTTGCTTATCGCATCATTTATTTCATTAGGAATGACGGGTTGCTGGCACGCGATCCTTTTTCGTGCATTTTGGTTTTTAATGTGATTTGGCCATAATGGGTCACAGGGAAAACATCTTGCGCGGGAAAAATTTGTTTAACGGTAGGCACGTTTTAATAGGTCTTACTTATGCCCGACAATTTGCAGTGTTGTCAGTTAAAGTGCCTGAGATGTGGGTGATCAAAAGTGTACTAAACCGTTAGTTTTTTGCTATAGAGTTTATGCGACAAAAGAGGCATTTCCACGATCGTGCCAAGAACACAAAGGCGAAAATGACTGTCTACAGTCATTCCGACTTTATGATCTCAGATTTCATCAAATGGCTTTACAGTCAGACTCTGCCACAAGTCTCAAGTTGACAGTCAACAGGAAACACAAAAGTCTTTTATTTATTTAGATATGTTAATTCAGAAACCAAAAACTTTTACTAATGTGTAATGGAGTTTCTAGTTCGGTGTTGTAACAACTAAAGTAAGAGGATTTGCGCAACTTAAATTAGTTCGTAATATTAAATCAAATTCTTAGTTTGTTTAGCTGTTTTAAACGCGCAGTTTTTTCACACCTATATAGTAACCGTCCTAAATGCAAGTACTTATTCGATTTTGTTAAAAGTGTTATTTGCTGTTGTTTCATTTGGAAAAACTCAACAGTAAAAAGATTAGTAAATGCAATACCACAAATTATGTTGCAGTTTGACTCGACAATCTTGTAATTTTTGGCATATAATGTATGCGTGTGAATTTCAGTTCTGATTTAAGCGATGGAGTGTTTTATACTTACCTGGATGCTTTGTTTCGTTCAGTCTTAAGTGAGTCGATGCTAGAGGCAGTTATAAAAATGTCTTGTTTCCAATAGCACCGCCAAAAGGCCTACCAAAGATTTTGGAGAATCCAACAACCACAATTGGCCAAGTTGGGGATTCGACGCATCTTCAGTGCGAGGTATCGGCCACACCGTCTGCATCGGTGGTCTGGATTAAGGACACCTTCTTTCCAATTGACCTCTCTGACTCCCGATTTCGAATCGTTGGTAAAGTCATGCTTGATTTGACGAATGCATACTTGGTTATTTCAGAGAAGGCATTTCTCAGAAACCTTCTTAAAAAGTTACCAACTACGTGGTTACTTAGGGTTGATACATCTTAATCTACCAATCCTTTGCGTTTGTACTAGCTTTTTTGGAAAACAATATCAAAGCAGAACCCAATGATCGTGGTGCAGTTATAAATGAAAATTAAATCAGGCAACTATCTTATTTCTTTCAAGGTAGTGGATCTTTAGTCATCGATTCTCTTTTGGAAGAGGACTCTGGTGTCTACGAATGCATGGCCCGAAATATTGTCGGAACAGCCATCAGCAATGCAGGCCATCTAAACGTTCGCCGTACGTCTATACATACTTCTAATACTTTTTGAAGCAATTTTCAGTGATACTAATACATACTACCTGTTTGTTTGTGATACATTTATGCTTCTGCGTCAAATTTGAGTTGTATTTTAAGCAAGTGAGTTCTTTAAGTTGAATTATGAAGTGATTAGAATTGTAGATTTCAAATTAAAGGCTGACTCTCCTAATCAGGCAAATTTTTCAGCGGTTCTTGGAGGTCTTATCACTGCAGTAATTAAAAAAAAAACACAAAAAGCGTTTGCTCTTAGCTTTGTTCTTGAACCCTGTTACAAGCACCGTTTGCCAACACGTAGATTGTCAATATAGTTCAAGAATTCCCTACTTGCCTAGGTGCACTAATATGACAATAAACTTTCCGACGCTCAGCAAATCAGACAAGAGTTACAGAGATGTAACAAAACACAAGATAACGAAAGATAAGCCGGAGGGGTTAATAGGGCGCAAAACGTGCTCTGAAAGGAATCGCAGGAACTATTACCCTCTTGAAGTAACACTGATCGGGAGTTAACACGACTATCACGTCTGCAGTACCAGTGCTTTGTCAACGTGCATTGTCTTGGTTTAAGCGAGGCTGGACACGGGCAGCGTTTCTTTTTACTGGAATATCGCAGTTACAATATAAACTAAGGTGAAAGTAATGTTTGAGCTTGACCGATTGATTTACTCACACTAACAGTTAGTTTGTAGTTGCATATGCTTAACCATCTGACCCAATTTCCTAAACTGTATTATTCTAGTTCCTGAGTGTCTACTATTTCTATCTTTTGGGATTCTTTTTTGTTAACCAAACAAAATAACCTACATTTAAACAAAAAAGGATATCCAAAAAAGGCACGATTACGACTTATAAGTAGCAATATGTTACAGAACACAAAAATGAGGTCATTTTTTCCTGTTAGTATTCCATTACTCACCATACATCAATTAACTTTCATGTGAATTCGTACGGCATTGCTTTAACCGTAGGACCTGGGCTTGATCTTGCATATTTGTTGCATGACTTAGTAGATTTTTCTGTTGCTTATTAAAGCATTTACGTCTAACCGGAATAGAATACACTATAAAAGGAAGGCAAACTTTTTATGAAAAATAACTTTACAGTCTGTACAATCAATGAGAACTTCTTTTGTTTCCAGCCTCATTATCATCTTCTGAGTCTTGTGGACCTGATTGCGATAAACATAAATCAGCACTTTGACTAAAGGAAATATTACAGTATTCGTTACGGACTAATCAGCTGCACATCATCTAGTAGTTGGGTGGTAAATACTAGTTCACAGTGCACACCTGCCACACTGTTCTTTATTAACAGAAATGAACAATGTCGTGTCTACAAAAAATGCCTGCATTTTTAATGGAGAATTTATCTTTAAACTTTCCGAAGGTGTTTTTTAACGTGCGATTGTGTGACCCTTGTCCCCTGTCCAGAGCAGCTGTACTTTGTATTTGGCTTTTCCCTCGGTTAAACAGGTTAATAACAATATCAGATGGTGCTGCTAATTACAGTTTTTGTTAACTTAATTTTTGAGATTTTTCTACCGTTCGATTAAATTACCTAAGTGATGATCATTAGTTTTTCCTTCTAAGTTATGGAGCACATTGCGGTTGAGCCGAATGCCATCGTGTATCGTAGAACCTAAGTTGTAAGGAAAACGATTTGCTAACCATAATGGTTGCCAAGGGATCTATTCTAGTTCTTGTGGCTTCAGAACCAAGTCCTTGATTCGGGAGAATTGTGATAAGGTAGGAACATGAGGTGGTCATGCAGTCTGGTCGCCTCTCAGGCATAATGCTTCATTGTTCTTTCAACTAGGTTGGTGTTTAAATGTTTGACAAGATTAAAATGCCTGCAACTTGTGTAAATAAATAACTGACGCATCATTAAAGCCAATTCTATACTTTGCTTCCACTCAGAACCTGAGTATCCTACTTAACAGCCAGGTGAGAATCGTTGATGGTGTTTATTTTCTCCTGCAAATTACTCATTTTATCTGACATCTGCTAACTTCTCACGCATTTTGCCTTTTAAGGGAACCTAACGATGCTATATCATTACCTAGTTGAACAGGGCAAGTTGCGGGCTGCTTGGACTCTTCTTTAGAATCACCTTTTTTTCCACGAAGCTTTTTCTTGCTATGTCGGCCTGCATGTGCTTGTTGGTTATGCACTGAAAGTCTGATATTTGCACAAATTACGCATTAATGCAATCTGATAAACTTAGTTGTAAAAACCAAGGAGTTGGTCTGTGTCTTTTTGCTCACCTGGTTTGATGCAGAAAATGCGTGCTCAAGCAGCACGCAAGTGGAAAAAGGTGTTCTAAATTCCATCGCTCGACAACACGCTGAAACCCCGGTCCAATCCACTTTTTTTCTGGCAAAGCTTAAAAAATGCACTGCTCATCATGGATAAATAAATGTTGGCGAATATTTGCTCCTGCGAATTCCTGTTAAATGGCCTGAAGGAACCAGATTCATCACGGCATTATTTTAACTTGATGTGGCGCCATCCCGCAACTCCAGTCTGGCTGTTGGACACACCTATGTAGAAATTTAACCGCCCTAGCTGCATGTTAGACGTCTAGTAGTTCCAACCTTTTACGCATTATTACCATCATCAACTTTTGGCCAAACATATCTTCCCCAGTTGTAACTTTAAGTGGATGATTCATCGCCCCTAGCTCACTTTAGATCAGCAGGTTGGACCTACACTTTGATCTTTGTTCCATTACAATCGCGCGTTCACGCTCAAGTTATTACCCTCTGCAAAATGGTCGATTAATATGCTCACATTCATGCCAAGCATGAGCAAAGACAAATTCAGTCGATTATCTTTAATGCATTTTACGTAGCGATGCTTTTCCAGAGATCAATGTCTAGCTTTCACATATATAGACCGACGTCTAGTCACGCTAATACTGCCTTACGTCATCTACAGTCTTCTTCTATCCCGGTTAACCCATGATATGTCAGTCGCTGGTCCCTGAGAACGGCACCAGTGCTTTCACAAGACTATTACGTTAGATACACATTTCAAAGTCAGATTTTAGCTTTCAATTCATGTGTAATTATGCCTATGAAAAAGAAATGTCCTTGCTAGTTAAAGCAGCTCTTATCAGTAATGCATTTTTTCATTTAAAGCAGTGCTTAAGGCAACAAAATTGCATATGGTCACTGGTTAAGAGGCGATGGTATCCCATTTGTAAGTCTTCGAAAATGGAGAACTTAATTCGGTGTCAGATTGTATCTACAGCGTGGAAACAATGGCCAACACAGAACTACTGTGACATGCTACTACGGGCAGTATCCATATTTGTAGCCAAATTAGTGTCACTTTAAGATAGACAAGATTCAGTTGCTATCACAAATTCGTTAGTCAAAAACGCAAGTACGCATTTTACCTGGCCATTTTAGAATTCTAGCCAGTTAATGAGTCGGTCATGCATCACTAGCTAAGCGGACAAAGTCAACCGTGATGTGGAACAAGTCGACAAATGATTATAACCGAAGCGCCGAATCTATTTTAGCAATGTAGTTCTTTTAAGCTTAATTCCTCTGCAATTTTTTCTGTTGCTGTAGAACAGGATTTTGTTTTGGTTACTAATGCTGTTTCGCTTTTTGTAAACACACCTAAAAAATGAGAATTCTGTAATTTTTACGTTTGCTCAGGTTAGTTTAACACAATAATTGTTCACATTTTTTTCTTGTGAAGTTGCCGCCCTAAGTGAATGATCTGCTCTGCTTGCATGTGCTGCAGGATGTTCCGCGAAGCACTTGCTTGATTGTAGGCTGAAAGCTCCTTCGTTTCCATTTTAGGCATTGAGTTTCCTCCTGCTATAAAGGAGATTCCTTTGCAGGTGTTCGTTTCGCCAGGAAAAGGCGTGAATCTCACCTGCAAGGCCAGTGGCTTTCCCCTCCCCCTGGTGTGGTGGGCGACGGCCGGGTCGACGCCCCTAATACCCCCAGCAGGGGTTCCGGGGAGATTCCACGCGGCCCCGTCCATCCATTATTATACGGAGCGGGCTCTGACGGAACCGCAGCAGCAACAGGCGACTCTTCGACTAACTGATATCACGGACCAACTTACCTACATCTGCGTGGCAAAGAATAGTCTTGGGATTGTGAGAAGAAATATCAGCGTGATTGTCAAACGTAAGTAGCTTTCACTATATTCACCGGCTTTTTAGAGTTATCCTTTAAACGAGATCCTATACTTTTCGTTTTCTCTATTTTCTTGACTGGAATTTAAACATGGTCGGTTGGCAACGTAAGGCTGATTGGTATTGCCTTTACCCCACTTTTAACTAACACAGTAGCATTGAGCTAAAACACTCATGAGTAGTTCTTATCTCATTGGTAATTGCCGAAATCTAGTAAAAATGTCATTCCGTCCAAGTTTCGGCCGCTATCCTTCGTCCTATATTGACATTGATATTAATTTCATTTTAACTAACAAAACCTAAGGCAGAGAATTTATCTTTGTCAAATTCAGCGTGTGTTTAGAGTTGGGCATAACCCAGAGATGAAAGTATAAATTGCTGTTCTTTACCTTACTTTTTCCTTAAATTCTGACAGTTTATGAATACCACTGTCACATTGGCACCATTTTTTGCTACTCACCATCAGTACCACAGAAATATATGCTAAAAACTACTTTTTATTCATCTTGGCATTTAAAACACTTCGAATTGCGTAGTAATTTATTTTTTTTCCTAAATTTGATAACGGTTTAAGTGTCTTCTCTGTGTTAAAACAGAAACCCATGATATGCTTGAAAGTTCTAAGTGTGGCATTTTTACAACAAAAATGAATTTTTCTTGGCTTATGTGCTTTTCGAAATTCCCCTAATTTTTTTTTAAATTTGACTTAATTGTGTGTTATTACGTTCGTAAAATAAAATCTGCTTAGGTCTATTTGGCAAAAATGATGTAGGTCATCTAGCAGGAGGATGGGGTCTAAGATGATAAGTTAGAAGCCGTAAAATTAGCTTAATGCTGTAAACATTTTAGACAGACGTCATCAGGTTCGTGCGAAGTAATTTTTTTTGCTATAAATGATATCATTGATGAGTGCATATTTCTTGCCCTTCGGTTGCTTATGCTGAACATCCACGTCACACATTAGCATTCCTATAATGAAATAAGTGACTTTGCAACATTTGAGCACAGTTAACCTGTATGGTAATCATTACATGATTAGTTCACATCTCATCGAAAATTTCCGAAATCTCGTAAAAATGTCATTCGGTTCAAGTTTTGATCCCTATCCTTCGTTTATGAACACCACTGCCAAATTGGCACTATATTCTGCAACTCACTATCTGTTGTTCTATAGAAAATTCATCAATGCTGTATCGAAATATACTCAAAACCACTTGAAGAAAAAATTAATACTATTTCCTTTGCTTGGTTTCTAAAAGATGTGTGTTTTAAGCGATTTTTGGCATGCCTGTAGTTATCAACAAGGAAATCCTTGTCACTTCACAAAGGGATAAAATCAAGCTACTTCCACTAAGGCCTGACCTTGTTCTCGAAAATTTGGACAAATTAGTCATTTGGCATGTAAAAATAAAATTTCCTATTTCCTTCAAATCTGTCCTCGAAAATTAGTAAACCAAGTTTTTATTAATGAAATGTCTGGCTTTGTAATTCTTTACTTTGATAGGATTTCCGCGCAGATAAGCAAAGGTATAATCTTGGCTAAAAATTAAAGTTCTTGAAAAAATAAACTACACCAAGGAGCATTTTTTGCTAATGTCAGGCTATCAGCAAAATTCGCATCGTTGAATACCTGGGAGATCATGTAAGGAATAAGGGGATGAAAATAATCACAGACGAACGAACAAAATAAATGGTTGGGAAGTACCGTTGGCGCTTGTTTACATTTTCTATGATGGATGCTAAATACTGAGATTGAAGGCGAGGGTTGACATTGGTTAAGGTGGGTTTATAGGGTACAGTTCCCATCAATATAACTGATGAACGCCAGGAATGCGGTACTGGACCATGCCAAGGCCACTGCGTTGAATTTGGCCCAAAAAACGCTGCACCTATCCCCGAGTAGACTACTAAGACAATCTTATACTCGATAGCTTAAACGAGTCACTTTGGCGTTTGCATGGTCAATGTGGTAGTTTACCAGCGCAGTCTGGGTCAACTAGCCAAAAACACAAATGTCGAGGTAGTGGGAGGGGTACATGCGCAGGGGTGCATGGGCTGACGGTCCTGCAAGAACGATGGGCTTGCTGTGAATAACAGGCAGTGGGCCGGAGAAGTGAGTCATCACGATTCCCAATATAATGGACATGGATTGCCGTACTTTTAAATTAACTGGACTGCGTTGCACAAATCCAAGGTGCGTTTCTAATCATTGCAAGAAATTGTGGCGAGTTGTATGTGCCATGCATTCGCATGCTTGAAATTTGGCAGATGCTTTGATTATCAGAGTCATTCTAGAGACCCAGCATTTAATTCGACAATAGTTTTCCAGTTGCTAAAAATTCCGAGGCAGAATTCAGCAGCTAACGTCAAAGCCTGGCTCTGTATAATCACATTGTAAATAGTTAGAGAAGATAAGTTGATGTGCTGTTACTTTGATTATTTTTTTAAATACCTTAGCATGTCATTCTGCCATAGGCGTCAACGTTTTCTTAATATTTTGTATTTTACCAGGTAAATCATTTTTATCGGTAAAAACCGTGAGGGTTCAGCTGACAACTGACAAGTACTGTGAGAAAAAAACTCATGATGTCAGTAGTGCAAAGCATTTCAAGATGTCACCAGCCTTAATACTTTGAAGTTAGACTGCTTGCAATAAAAGTGATCATATATATATGCATGTTTAATGTTTTTCTGGCGACTAGGAACCTCAGAAACGCATGAAAATATATTACTCATTCTCATTTTTGCATATTACTGATGCTTGAAAAAGAAAACAATTTAGCAAACAGATCTGTAGGCTCTATAGTTTCAATTTATAAGCAGAGAATTGCCTTGAATTCAAAAAAAATACACTAGATATACCAACTTTGTTGAATGACTCACCGTTAATGTGAATGTGCTCAGATATGTTCTTACAAAAAGATATCTTATCTAATGGTTTTAACTCAAAATGCGTACACTGAGTTGTGTTACTTGTATTTACCCTGCACTACTAAACAGTTCTTTAAAAAGACCGCTAAATCCCACATGCATTATCCATGTTTTTGATTAAGTGAGTGATTCTGTTAATGATTATCAGGATGGTTTTTGATTTACAAATTAAAGTATTTGATTTTTTTTCTTTAAACTACGTTCTCTTAATTTCTGTTATTTCTACAGACTTGCCTGATCCTCCCACGTGGATTGACGTTCGTCCCGTTGGAGGAACCTATGCTACCTTGCATTGGAAGGCCCACAATGTCAGCGAGATCGAATCCTACACACTCACAGTTGAACCCAAAGAGAAACACCTCGGCCCCTCACTCGACCCTCGCAGACACGTGACAGACATTTTTGCCAAGGACTTCAACACGATTCGAGAGGAAGACAGCCAAAATGTAGCGTACAACATCACCGACTTGTCACCGTACACAGCCTACAAGGCCACGGTTCGGGCGGTTAACAAGAAAGTGGGACTTTCGTTGCCTAGTAACGAGATGGAGTTTCAGACTGCAGAAATTCGTAAGATTTACACTATTCTATGCATATGAGCTTTCAAATGAAGGATTATAGGTATTTTATACAATGCTCTAACATCACTGCATCTAGTAATCTACAGAGTTAATCGGATTTTACTAGTAATAGATAAGAACCACAGGCGTAAATTACTTTATCAAATTCGTACATAGTGATTTCTGAAAAATTAATACATTGCCCAGTATACATGTTCTTGACAAAACTCTTGCGCTCGAATTACTGCTTAGTATTGTGACGATCTATAATTTTATTTGTCTTAAGTCTACTATCATTAGTGAACAATTAAAGAGCAAATGTAAATAATCATTTTTGCGATATAAAAGAACACAAAGAGAAAATCCCAGTCTGTATTTACAATGTGAAAATCGCTACTCAACAACGTGTAAAAATTGTGAACTAATTGAGGATACTCATTTAACCAGGGCCCATCTAGGTAGGCAAATGGAGCTCATCATGCTTTCAGGGAATGGATGGTTTACGTAAATCTCAATAACAGTCTATTACCAGATAATTTGAATCGAAATCCAGTTTAACCCTGCTCATAAAATGAAGCAACTTTTTTTTCCATCTACAACTTTGGCGTGGAATTTGTAAAATACACGATAACTTTTTAATTACATGTTGGGCTTGCACTGACACCGAAATCGTAATGCGTTCACCCCGTGTAAGCGAAAATTTTTATCAAAATCAATAAAACATGATCAAAATTGTCGTCAGCTTATCAACTGTTTGAGGTACTTGGGTACAAAAATGTCTTCTTGACATCCATCATTTCAGCTAGATGTGTGACATTTTTTATTACCATCGACACTTCTTTGGATTCTGAAGTTATAAAATATTATATGCAAAAATTCTTAGAAATCACTGTTCTTGCAATACACAAAAAGTCCTCGATACATTTTTTGTCAATTTTAATCATTGTGAGTTCAGTTATAAACATCTGATTTATAGACTGTCACCATACAAGTGACTAATGCGTGCCTGACCAATTAATGCGATTTAAACTGACTATTCTAATTAAATCTAAAATAGGAACCCTGGTTTAAAAGCCTGTCTGAGAGGTGTTAATGCAATTAAGACTCCCTTGTCTAGTCGACTCCAAACATTTTCATTGATACTAGTGTGCTGGTTCGTTTGTGCATCCCTATGATAAGAGTAAAATCCATTTTAACCAGAGCCATTAAATGGAATAATTCAGCCAATTTTGGTTAAAAATGATCCCTTACCACGGTTGATTTCGAGTCGATCAAACTATTAATTTTATTTGTTGGGTCATCGATGTTTGTGCTTTGATGTTTAACCCTGCTTTTTTGAGAGCTAGTTGTTATATTCTTGTAATGCTTCTCTAGCACTCTGGAATATTGACACATAAAAACATTTACATAAATCATGACTTAAATGTGGATCACTTTGCTGCCCTTCGTGCCTGGAAATTCGCTTCAGGAAAATTTCATTATTCTTCCTTAATACAGATTTAACACGCGATGCGTAAAAGTAGTTTCCAGATTAATTCGGGTCAGATAAATCTGTTATTAAGTGATTTCGCACGCAATTGTGACTAAATGAAAGGGAATGGAGCCATTACAGCACCAGAAATATGAAACATTTCTGCTATATTTTCTTCACTGTTAATCATCCAAACAAATTTGATGGAAATGTCCTTTGTTTCTAGGAAATTGTTTCTTTTTTTGATTTAGCAATGTATCTCAACCACCACGATAGATGCAGACATCTGATTCTTTTATTACCGTATAGCTATAAAAATACTTAAGCAATTATCATTTGATTGCCTTGGCATTATTTAAGGTTTTCCACTTTTAGGAAGTAGAGTTACTGTAATTGGTCAAAAGATGCAACTTTAAAAGTTTGCATGATACACAAGATTGAGCTTCTTAATGGATCATAGGCCATATATAGCAATGCAACTTTAATAATGCATAGCACACTTAATGACATATAGCGTACATGCAGTTTCAGGAAGGTAAATAAATTGTGTACTTTTTGTAGAAATTCGCTGATTTGATTAACTAAATGGCTTGAAGGATATAGTTAATTTAACGTGAATTAAGACTGATAGGCTTTATCTCTTTTTTACTCAAAAAAATAAATATAGGTTATCAGCAGCATCACAACTTGGCCACATGACATGTTGATTATGGGCCGTGGTAGTAGTCGCCAAGAATTGGCACTAATTTTCAAAACAAATCCAGGAGACAAAAGGCGTTTTGATGACTTCACTGCAATTGAAATTGACGTTAATTTTAAAGTAATGACTTGTGAAATAAAGTGATGACTGCCTAAATTCAGTGTGGGAAGGCTACGTTGTTTGCTTGACAGCAATAATGGGTAGTTGCGCCAGCACCTACTCTTCTGCTAATTTGACACGTGGGCTTCCAAGCTGACTTCTCCATATACAATCAGATTTAGCTCATAATAAACTTCTTTTTTGTAAATATATAAGTAAACAGTAAGAAAAATGACCTTTTTAATTGCAAAAGTCCCTCAAACTGGTCTTCATATCACCCAGCAGAGGTTAACACCTTAGCACCTCACCCGCCTTCTATTGAGACCTTTGCTTTTGATCAGGTTGACAATTTCTAAAATTAGGGCACGCTTCAACTCCAATTTCAGATTGTTATTGCTCATTTTGTGTTGTGAATAATGCAAAAACGGTGCAGTTTTTGCCAATTAGTGCTAATGGGAAACAGACATGGTCTGACCAACTGATGACCTAAAGTAATTAATATTTTATCGTTGAATCGCTGTAGACTGGGAGAGTTCTACCTTAAGCCTTGAAAATTCACCTTTTTTTCTATACATGGCACTATACATCTAGACTCTAGAATTTCCTTGAATTAACAAAGTCAGCATTAATGTCATAACTTTCAAGGCATCAACAGTAAAAGACATTGGTCAAGGTGGAAACTAACAATTGAAAATTGAAGCAGACCACCTTTGACGGGTTCTGTTTCCCTTGAATACAACCACTCGCTCTAGGTGGATTTTAATAAATAACGTAGACATCAGGATGGTGGCGTGACTCTAAAGAAAGACACTTTGAACCAAACGAATTGACTTGATTTTCGATAGGTTGCAATTATATGTAGCATTGCGTGACCCCCTCAAGATAAATCAGCCGCGGTCGATAGAGTCAATAAATATGGTGGTCCACACTATCATAAAACCACGCCACGTTTGTTTTCGTAAAGTGTGAATGATTGTCTTTTCGCAAATTTTTATGACAGTAGCAATGCTGTTACGGCAGTCTAAGCGCCGTTAATGATTTTATGTGTCTTCTGAGTGCGCTTATTGCAAAACCATAAACTTATTGGGATGCCAACGGTACTCGAAAGTATTGATTTTATTTTAATAATGCCACGAGTGCATAATACCTTTTTAATATTACTAATATGTTCCATTCACTTCAAACCAAATATGGCAAATGGTAGTGAAAAGCATTTTTTTAGAATTAAAACTGCTTAAAATTCCTTTATTTCGCAAGGCTTTATTTTCAATTTAAAATGAATTTACCTTCAATTGGCCTTTACTCCACTAAATTTGATTTAAATATGTGTCAATAGCCTATATATTAAATTACTATCACATGCAAGGCAAAAACGTACGAAGCATAAATGCGTGGTAATGCTATACTCCTGAATTCCCTCGGAACCCATTTCAATGGCCAACAGGCTGACTACACGTTTGTTAAGGTGGGTGTAATTAAACTCCATTTTCATTCAGCCCTCATTTGCCTTGACACATAGAAAAGTTGAGGGGAAATGTTACCCTAATACACAATTTTCAGTAGGTTTAAAAGAAATAAAATCACACTCCTTTAAGGTCAGCAATTTCTATGGTGACTTGATTTAAGGTGTCAGCGAGAAGTTAATTTGGTTTAGCTTTATTTACTAGAGGGGCTAGTGCCTCATTTCTCAACCCACAAAAGGATTTGAAAAAAGGGTTGCATCTTCTGCCATACCTGAATAAATTACCTCTGAAAAAAACTGAACGGTTGATTCCAAATGATTTTAACAGTTCTTTTGTCCCAAAGCAGCAAGGAGTTTTTAACCTCAATGAAAAGACTTTTTACTGAAATACCGGCTTGATTCAAGCAACACATCATTGATTTTAGTGCAAGACGTGAACGGCGATTGAGTCGTACTGTTCTAATACTACACTTTGAGGCAATTTACTTTATGACTGGAGTGCAACTCCATCGCAGCATGTATTCTGCCTCATTTACGTTTTGTATAAGCAACACAATTGCAGTTTTTCGAATATCAATTGTTGAAAACACAGACGATTCAAAGATCTTCACTTTTGTTAGAAACGTTCTAAACAATATGCTGGGAGAAAACAATGCCACAAGATGAGACTGGCGCATTCTTTTTTACAATAGAGAAAATCACCTTCTATCTCAGTGTCAATTTAACGAAATTTAGTATTTGTAAATTTCCTTAAAAATTCCCAACAAGGAAGAACACTTGGTTTTATGTAAGTGCATAATTAACATTTATTCAATTAATCCTATGTGGAGAATTTAATGGAACCCTTTAGGCCGTTATTTTAATTAGGTCTCTAAAATGCCGTTAACACAGACCTCACTAGCAAAACACTTTCTACCAAGCGTCACTAGGAACCACGCACCAAAAACTATGCTAAGATACAAGTATATGCAACTAACCACTGATGCATTAGTGGATAGAGTAGGCAGAGTAATTAGCCTTCATAATGCAAACTAACTCTTAACCCTGGTATTCACGTATTTTATTAAGGAGCTAAATTCACTGAGGCTTTGGATATATCAGTTCTCCTTGCCCTGTCACGCTTTAATTCAAAAAAATCTGGATTTTTTACAACACAAACATGCTAGAAATTTTACTGATTATATTTGAATTATTGCTTGGCCTAATTTATTACAACTCTAATAACGAAAAGACTTCTATGTGTCAGAGATCAGAGGACAAAACAGAAATAGGTAACAAGATTACGTCCTCGTTCTTCAAAGTTCTATGCGTAAAATTACACGTGCATAAGGTTTTATGAATGAATTTACAAAGTAGTTTAATAAAGGTTTCTTATTCTGTTCATTGCCTCGCCCCAACATACCTTATATCTACAATGAGGGGTCTCTCTTCTGATAAAATCTGCCTGGTTTCGGCAACACCTTGGGCCATGTGATATCTCTCTAGATCTTAACTTGGTTTTTTCCCACATGGCGCCGCAACTTATTTTAGACTGTGTTGGCATATCCACTTTAAAAAAGTCCGTTTCG